CAAAAAATATCTTTTTGTTAAAAAAAAAAAAAAAATCTCCAAACTATCTCACATGCAAATGCTCTTAACGTACAATTCTAAAAATGATTGCGACATACCTGTATTGGGAAAGTTACCGTGTGCTGTCTTAATCATTTGATTTCGTGTTTCAGATTGCATTCATATTTTCATCATGTCTGTTAACTCCAAAAAAGTGACTTTCCAAACATCGTGTATTTTCGTCATTATTCAAAACTAATTTCATTGCACCACGATTGTCAAAACACTTGTAGCCCCTTTCCCCCCCAAATACAGTCAAATACAAAAAAATACATCAGAGTGGTCTTACCATTTGCGTGTGTTTGGAGTCCACGCTGCAGCCCGCAGCACTATGACGCTCACTGCAGATCACCTACAGCCAAACGGACATCTTCAGCATCTATCTTTCCGCGGCTGTCATCCTCAGCGTGATAAATCAACCAGTGTGAATGATCAGCTTTATACACTCGCCTTAATAAACCCCCCAAGCGTGCCCACTACCATCCCTCCCCTCTGACAACAAAAAGACACCATGAAATGAAGCGATCTCAAATTGGCTTTCGGGAATAATAGCGTTTTTCCTTGCAATCCAGGACACGCGTGGAGACGAGGGGTGGGGAAGGGGGGGGGGTGTTGCGGAGGGGGTAAACTACCTGTAATTACAAATAACTGGCGGATAAGAGGTTGCACAAGTGTCTATTTCATGTGTCGATCAGTGGGCGAGCGACGGGTCACGCAAAAGAGTTGCAAATGTAATTTCTGCCCGTTCCCCCCCTCCCAGCAGTTAAATTCTTGTAATTAAATTCGTATTAGTTTTTTTTTTTTAACTACAGGTGTTGGGTCGTTTGTGAAAAGATATTTAAAAACTAAATCCCCAAAAAGCACCTCTGTGCGTCATGCAAAATTAAAAACAAAAAACATATTACTCCAACAAAACACCCCCAAAATACTCGCCTTACCTGCTTCGTGGTGGACAGAACCGTGTTGCCCTCTGACAGAGGGGACAAAACTTCATTTTTCCAGTACATGAATCCCCCGGAGCCTCCCGGCGAGCAGCGGCAGCAGTCAAGCCGGGAACAAGTTGTCGATGGGCGGCCAGCAAAGCTTTTATCATCCGGTGCTCGCACAAAATACTCCTCGCCGCCCTTTTTTGTTGTTTTTTTTTTTCAAGCGGGCTTGATAGCTCCTTTCCCGGCTTTAAGAACGTTGACGATGATCCTGTTGTGTGGCGAAGCAAAACTGCGTTTGTCTAGAAGCCTGGTAGAAAGACAAGGCATGTGCGCAAATGCACACCCTCCCCTTCGTGCACTGTACCTCTCCCCTCACTGGTGGGATGGAGTTGTGACTTTACAGGAAGTGCAACTTGCACGCAGCTTCTTATTCCTCCACGCAAACGCTTTCCAAGGTGCAGAGAGAGGTGGAGGGCTGCAAAGAAGAAAGTTACGGTGCGTGGCCTGCCTCCCTTTCGGGGGGACAAAAATAGGAGGGCGCGCGCGTGCGGATTTGCATATCTCACAATGAACTGAAAAAAAAAACTAAGAAATTAAAAATGACAGCGTTGCAATATGCCACAGGGAGTTTTATCATGTGACAATGAGAAACGCTGAGAAACATATTTGCTCGTCTGTTATTTGAAAACGAGACGCGTACGTAGTATGGAAGCAATAACTGTACTCGCCCAAATTAAATCAAAACACAAAATGTTTTAATTACAATCTTCGGTTTGAACTGAACGGAAGAGGATTTCAACAATTGCCGAATTATGACAAGCGTGTTGGACGATGTCAAACATAGGTGACAAATAATTATTGCCATAAAGCAAAAAAAAATAAAATAAAATAAAACGACGAAAATGCGAGACCGGACACGTTGACGTTGTTTACTAAAAATACGCACTTTAGGAACTAAATTAAACGTTTTCAAAATAGGTGCATTCGTGTGTGACATTTCATTTAGGAACAGACATTAGGATGATTGCCAGCAATTTAACGCACAAAAGACGTAAAAGGGCTCTTTTTTTTGTTGCAAAGCAGCGAGGATTTGGTTGGTCGTTAACGGTATTAACAACCGCGCTCTTTCCGATGCAATTTGTGCGCAATAATAAAGGTTAAAGGTTAATAAAGGTTTGACTTGCAGGCACGGTGACTAAAATGAAATAAGAGCATTATATGGCTGGCGCGTTTCTTTCTTGGGAGATTTTTTTTTTTTTAATGGGGGAGTCATGATAACGAATAAAGAGAATTGCTTAAAAGCATCCTTTGGCTATGTCTTTTTTTTAATTCCACTGGAAAATTAATGGACCAGAAATATGCGTTGTTGCGTCTATTTTTTTCATGGTATACATTATGGGTAGAATAGGAATGTAACCTGATGTGTATGCTGTGGTCCTAAAATGTACCACATTAAGTAGAAAATAGAGAGTATCACAAAAAATTACGAATCAAAAACACGTCATTTTTTTGTTGAGGAAATTCGATTTAATTTAAAAAAAATCACGGGGGGGGGGCATCATCACACACTCTCCCAATTTGGCTGGGAATTATTATTTTTTTCCATAACGGGGCCATTTAATTTGATTCTTTTTAAAATGTCTTCCAACGGTCATACAAAATATATGGTGCAATATGATGCTACAACCAAACAAATGTTTATTATTAGACACTATGAGCATTGGTGGCTTTTTTTTTTTTTTGGGCTCTGAGGTTTAAATTGCTATGAGAATTGCATGGCAAGTATATAAATCTCGAGGTAGGTATAAGACCCACAGTTCGTAAATCCCCCCCCGCAAAAAAAAGAAAAAAAAGGAAGAAACAAGACAACTAGCACGGACTAGAAATAATTAAATTAATAAATCCAAACAACAATGTTGTGCACAAAACGGCTCAACATTTTTGCGAGTCCTGCTTACACAGTTGGTTTTGAAAAGGCTTCGTTTTTCTTCAGAATGACGCAGTCGATCCTGCATATCCCAAACATCAACACACGCACACTCAAATAAATTGTAACATAACCAAATGACTGAATGTTATTCGCCCAGCATTGCTGTGAACAATGTCAGTGTCTATTATTCCGAGCGTAAAAAAAAAAAAAGTCCCTGCTGGGATGGGTCAGGGGGGCCTGAGGTGTGTGAGGGGGGGGGGGGAGTGGTTGCCAGGAGGAGTGGAATGGGGGTTCTCCTTGACAAGTGGTCATCTCCTAAACCTTCGAAAGGGCCTGCTATGTGATTTGGAGTAGGGCTCCCAGCGCTTCCTCTCTGGCGGCTTGTTGTAGACGTAGGCGGACGGGCCCGAGTACTCCTCATCGGGATTCTCCTCCATCATCTGCAGCTTGGCCTCGATAGCGCGGATCTTAGCGCTCGTACTTGTGGAGGACACACGCGCGCACACACACAAACAAAATAAATAAGAGAAGTTAGAAAGCCGAACGGGAAATACCGGCGCAAGAGTACCAATCTTAGAGTGAAATATTAAAAGGGGGTGGGGGGGGGAGCTAAGAGGAGGAAGAGCAGGAGAGGGATGATGCTTCTGGGCGGGCATGAAAGAAGACAGTGTTTTCATTTGCTCTCGTGCGAGGTGTGAAGAGCGCCATTTCAAGTCGACACTAGAGCCCAAGTGTGCGGTCTGTCCCGAGGAGAGCTCTCGAGATGGCATCCCGCGCTCGCTCGGAGACATTGGCTCATGGCTAAGAGCCCCTCACTCTGCTTTATTTCTGACACTTGGAGACGCGGCGATGAAAGCTCCCAAGGACAATAGCCGCTCCCCAAAATAATAGCAGGACTTGTCGATATGTAAGTAGATGATCAATGAGATGGACCGTGGCTATCTCATTTTATAAATGGAAATTATCGGGGCTGAAAGTGAACCTTTGGAAAATCCTCCTGCCTTCGAGACAAGGAATACACATTTCTAACGCAGTGTACCCGAGTCTGGGTCCACACGCCACCCGGTTCGTGTCAGAAAATGTCAATGGAGTGAGGACGTGGGCACATTTGTATTTCGCAACGAATCCGCAAAGCAATGAATAAGTGCAATTCATGTAAGTCGGAAAAAATTTGTTTGCGTGCGCTCAAACAACCTGAGGTGGTTCGTCGTCAAGGCTCCCTCGACTCCGTCGCCGCTGCTTGACGGCTCCAAGCTGGAAGGCATCGTCTTGTCGTTACGGAACCCTTCAAACCTCTGCAGATGACGATGACGATTAAGATGGCGGCGGCCAGAGAACCCCGAGAGATGGGTTACAGACACCAATGGAAACAAAAGAAGCACGAACAGGTGGAAAAAGAGTAAAGGGGTGAAAGAACCGCTAGGAAAGTGACGGCAGGCATTCATGTAACACAGATAGCATCTAAAAATGAAAGAATGAAGGAGTTAGTTTCGCATTTAGCAAACAACAACAGAACGTGCAGAGAGAGGAACGCTCCGATAAGACGATTTCCCCGACAGGCTGCCATCTGCACTCATTCATCTCAGCTAGCCAACAGTGAATTCTCGTTACCTATGGATGAAAGAAACAAACAAAAAAAAAAGAAGACCAGAAAGAAAATGGACATCATGGAACAGGTGAAACAAAGACCAGCTGCTGTTATTGGGAAAACAATTGTCAAGCAATCTAGATCTCAAACGTTCGGGTCCAAGGAACCCTTACAAGGGTGATTTATTTATTTATTTATTTATGGGGGGGGGGGGTGACAATAACAAATTCATGTATCTTTATTTTTTTTAAGAGAGAGGCGGTATTATGTTAGGAGAAGAAAGTATTTTTTTTTTTTGGTAAGACAAAAAAAAACTCCTAATATTTACACATTGAATGAAATTTTTCCAAGATAAAATTATGACAGAAAAAGTTTGCAAAGGAACAAAGTCATATTTTTATTTTTTTCTATGTGAATTAAATAATTATGTGAATTAAATGTCTTTTTTTTTTTTTGTAATATTATGTCTTATTTTGGACAAATTTGCCCCCCCCCCAAAAAAACATTAAAAAAAAAGTACTATGTTCTCTAAAAATATATGCCCCCCTATTTTTAAAGGACTTTATTCCAGCAATAATATTTAAAAAAATAATAATAATAATTAAAATATTTCATTCATGTCGGGGTGTCAGAAAAATTGAAGATAAGTCGGATTTATTGGTTCGTTATGTGTGTTTAATTGGCACGCCCATAGCTTAGTCGGAGGCACTTTTTAAAATGATGCCAACATTATAATTTATTGAAAATTGTTTTGTTGACCCCAAAGGTACAGCTCACGAAACGACAATGTAGTTATCTGTAAATATCAATTCGAACCTGACACATAAAAATCAGTTCGGAATTGGTTCACATTTTCTCCTATGCTATATCCTAAAAAAAAATAAGAGCATTGCTGGAAAACTGTCCTGCTTACAGAGTGTCAAATCTAATTGCTCCAAGGGGGATATTTCGTTTTGGAAGTGGTGGTAATTGTCATAAAAAATAAGCACAACTAGGCCAAGGTGATGAAAATGTGACACTGCGTGAGCGTGCGCACGTGTGACCGTCGGGTGTGATTCATCTCTATACAGGATATCCCGCCACTATTTGCCAGTAAGCGGCCTATTGTTAAGAGACAAGCGTTGTGCTCAGATTCCGCCGCTCGCTCGGCTCAACGAGCGACTGGGGAAGAAACGCGAAGAATGGCGGCACGGATGCTCTTTTAGCTCACGTGCTTCGGGTTTCCAAAATTCAATCGCACGCACCCTTCGGCTGAGGTAGAAGTGATACGGGAGACGACATTTTTTGCAGCTGGTCTGGTATAAAGGCACAGAAAATTCTTTTCTTCAGAGGTGCTATCAGAGCCGTACCAGATGGAACGCCGCTCGTCTAAGACACGATGCCGCGTGCATCTTAGTACCTGACTGCAGGGTGCCACCCGATGGCGATTGTAACTCGATCTCTGCGTAAACGATCCCTTCATAAAAAAAAAGCCAAAGCCCGATCTATACGACATCGTTGCTTGTTGCGCTAAAGTGCAGCAGTGGGAACGAGCGAGTGTGACACTTACCCTTACCTGTGCGTGGGCCCATCGCACAACCAGTTTCTTTGACAGCGCCAGCTTGCCATTCAAGCACTGGATGGCTCTTTCGGCCTCCTGCCGACAAAAAAAAAGGAAGATGGATGTGACGTTTACGACTCGACCGCGGCAGATTCCGACGGACAAATTCAGGTGAAGAGACTCGGACCTCGTGTATTAATGAAGCACTTCATCTGGGTGTGTGAGTAAGTATGTGTGAGTGTCGAAGATAAACACACACTTCCTTTGTATAAACTCTTCGGGGAGGACTTCATAGCCCAGGGATAGACACTGGCTGCGAAACTAGATGCTTATCATGATCCCTCCCGGCTCATTGTAAAACAAATACAGGCCGCCCGGCCAGTCAAGTTAGTGGGCGGCGGTGTCTGGTGCTTTTCATACAAAACAGAATCCACCACACACACACGATTACGTTTGAGGTTGGGATATAGATACAGATAATAATAAAGTGTGGCCGTGGCCACTTTGACACGCTACCGCCCTCTGCTGTCGAATGAAAGTGCCGTCAAAATGCCCTCGGGCTCGCATTGTGAACAGTCATGTGACCAAAACCCAGAAAACAGCTGAGCCACGCAGTCCATTTGTGTGTGTGTGTGTGTGTGTGTGTGTGTGTGTGTGAGTGTGTACCTCTCTGGTGTTGAAGTTGACAAAGCAGTAGCCTCGCGGTTGGCCTTCCAGAGGACCGGATTTATGGAACAAGAAGTCGAACTGTTTGACATGGCCGAATTTTTCTAGGAGCTTCACCAAGTGATACCTACCAGGAGAGGAAACATGGGACAGCGTGAAAAACACACACACACACACACACACACACACACACACACACACACACACACACACACACACACACACACAGATAACAAAAAAGCCCCACGGGGTGCCAAAAGGAGTATGTGATTTATCTTTATTTATTTAGTCACACTGGAAGAAAAGGAAACGTAGTTTTTGTCTCCGCATCAGAAGGATTGTCATCCTGCGCCCCGGCCACTGTACAGTGTGTCTCTGTCAAGCGTGAGGGCTAATGAGAACGGCAGCTTTCCCTTCCCTGACACCTTTTTAGCAGCGGGCCAGCTGGTGCGGGCACGCCTGAGACAGTAAATCTTTTATTGAGACAATGACGAGGATACGGTAGCAGGACAATGAGGGAATAAAACAAAGGAAGCCTTCGGGCTCCCCTCCCGTGCGCCCGACTGCACAAACAACATCCAGCCTGCGACTGAACTTAGATATGCGCTCCCGGAAGAGCTATGCGCCCGTGCGCATTTGGAAGCGTGGGTACGGCCGGCCTCGTAGCGGCATGGGGGAAAAAAATGTGTCTTCTGGGAAAAGAGGCTGGACAATGAGACCTGCGTCACCTACCGACAGCCCGGCTCTACTTGGCCGTGCTGGCTCCAATGACAATGTAGGCAAATCAAATCAAAATCAAGAGTCCCCCGCGGTATTTTTAGACTCCGGCTTCAGGCTATGTTTACACTTTGTTCCCGAGGAGCACCATGGTCCCGTTTTGCCTCCCATTTCAAGATCTGTTGGGGTTTCTCAAGGCACGGGTGTCAAACTCTGGCCCTCGAGGGCCACGATCCTGCATGTTTGAGATGTTTCCAACTTGGCCCTCCTCTGTGGAGGGGCAAGTTGAGACCATCTCAAAAAGATCGCACCATTATTTTGGATTTTATGGACATTATAATATCTTCCTCTCCATTGGCGCTCACGACTGCTTCATGAGGAAAACGTTCACGCCCGTAATCTCCAAAATATTGCTGCGAGCCCTTTGATATTTTCTGACATTTATGCGGGCATGAGTAGAGACGTGCGTGTGAATTTTGGGGGATGACTGATAACAGTTTTTTAACAGCGCGACATCCTTTGCGCTACGGCGGAGCAAACCGACGGCTCCAAAGAACACAACAAAGGAAGACGTCATAATCTCCAGGACTGGAGGTGACTGCAGGTGAAATACGGGTTTGTTTTGTTCAACGGCCTCTTATTGTTTTGTTGTTATTATTTGAACTCTCAAGAGGGTTTTTGTGTATGGCCGGCACGACGAGCATCGCTGTATGACAATGCGTAGTGTGTGTGGGAGCGCGTATGGGATGTGGAGGGCGACTTTCCAGGTCGCGGTACAGTAGTACACTTGTACAGCTCCCTTGAGGGCTTTAGACCACAGATGACTTCTGCTTTTCCCAGACAACACCCTGCGAACATACCCGAACAAAGCGACTAAAAAGCAAGTTCATGTTCAAATATTGGATATGAAAAAAATATTTTTTAAAAATATATATATACAGTATACTAAGTAAACACATACCCACCACAAAAGAGAAATGACACCTTTATGTCAGTGGTAAAAAAATAAAAAAATTACAGTATACAAACAGACTGGTGCCTATACAATGCAGATCCTCCAAGAACAATTTTGGATACTCGCAACAGAACCACAATGGACTGCGCCTCACGGGAGCAGTAAAAACCGCCGGAGGAAGAGGAGGAGATGGGGAGGAGGAGGGTCGGGGGGTGGCGGGGGGGGGAAAGGGCGGGAGAACCTGTGGAGAGTGAGAGTAAAGTTCAGAGTGGCAGCGTTTACGGCAAGGTGAAAGGTGGAGGCGGGAGGATGCCGCTGTGAAGGAAGCGAGATGAGAAGATGGGTAGTGGCGCAAAGGAGGAAAGGGGGGAAAAAGAGGGTGGTGGGAGTCCGATTTGAGATAAGTGATGAGCTAAGTGGACAGCGTTGGGGCCACTATTCTATCTATCGATCGATCGATATCAATTGCTGACATTTATGGTCAACAACGTTGGTTCGGCAACAAAGCGAGCAAGTCGTTTTTGCTTAAATATTGAAGTTGGGCTCAATAAAAGGGGACAACCACTCTGGAAATTCTGTGAAATGCTATGGAAGCTAATTTTCACGACAGCAAAAGCCAAAACATTTCGTTGAGTTGCCCAACTTCAAATGTTATCCAAGTTTGTTGCCTTGAAACTTTTTTTTTTTTTTTTTTTTTTTTACAATGTGGGAACTGGTCAAAGGAATAAAAATTAAACGACCGAAAGCAAACGACACAATTTCAAGCGTGAAGCTTTGCGCAAGGGCAATCGGGACCCAGCAAAGCCGGTCTGCCTCCCTCCTCAAATGGACACAGCTATGCCGGGTGGAACAAAAAAAAAAGTGTCCCGCCAGTGCCAGCCAGGAGCTAATTAATCTTCCCAATCAGCAACAGGGGCCGTGGGCATTTCTCATGTTTTCTCTTCAAAACGGCGCACGAGAGGCGCTATTTAAAACAGAAGTGGAGCAGGGCATAGGAAAGGGAAGGAAACGCCTGTCTAGACGCCCACCAGAGCCTGCAACACATATATTCTGCAGAAGCCCCCCAACTGGCACACAAAAACAATCTCCTTGCGCAAAAAATACGAGTTTCCACTCCAGCACATTGTGCAGAAAGGTAATTTCAAACCCACACAATGGTGGGCGATCGGTGGCTTTGTTGCTCAATGTTTTTATTCGTTTTAATTATTTTAAACAAAGCGTGACTTAAGTTTGCGTTTAAAAGGGCGACAGCCAATTAATTCCTCTGCGCACGTTGAACTGCTCACCTAAAGCGTTGGTTGAAAAAAAGTTTAGATTTATTTTGTTTTGAGTGACAGGTGCATAGTGTAGTTTTCTGTGTAGTACAACATTGTAGATTGTTATGGTACATGAAGGGTGAGAAAACAAACAAAAAAAAAAAAAAACAATCCGCAAAGCAAACATTGGCCAAATTGCTGATGATGTTTGCCGGTGTTGGAAGGGCTTTAATTGGCTTGGTTGGGCCCTAATTTTTAAATTCAAGCGTTTTCAGTTACGAGTATGGTCCCGGAACGCATCAAACTTTTAAGTGAAGGCAGTACAGTTAATACAGGGTGCTGGAATTATTATTATTATTATTATTATTATTTTTTTTTTTTAAGACCAATGTCAGAGAACAGAGAGTCGTCAACCTTCAGGATATATCTGTGGCATATACCGGTACACAAAATAAAGCAAGAAATGCACACGCAGAGATGGGTACAGGTTGACAGAGAGAGTAAACAGGGCAGGTGGGTGAAGAACGATGGCTGCCGCTTTTGCAGAACAGCTCCACGCCTCGCTGCCACTAATTTTACACAACCAAGCCCGTCTGCTCAGTGTCAGCCTGCAACACACAGGCGCGACACACACACACACACCTCATCAATCATGCAGGCACGCACAATGCAGTGGCTCTCTCTTGGAGGCAGACATAGGCAGCTTTAGAAGGCAAAGTTTGGGATTTATAACGCAGACTGCCAAACATCAGTCTCGCGTCGAACGCTGCTTAGAGTTGGCAGCTTCACGTGTGTGCGTCATATTTGTTAGTTTTGGGTGAAAAGTGGATTTGTCTTCCGTTCTGTTTCTTTAAATTGTGTGTATGTGTGTTGTAGTTATTCAAGATAATATACTTACTCAGTGATTTTGGGATCAATGTTGCCTATCCACAACCGGTTTCCATCATGGGCCCCACTGTCTGAAATTATGGAGGCATTTTCCATTGTCTCTGCTGCAGACGACATACGTCCACTGACAAGGCAACGTAAGAAAATATCATTAAATGTACATTCTACTTCATATTTCAAGAAATTATTTTGTGGAAGAACATTGTCTTACTGAGCTATAAGGGAGATAAGGAAACACCATGCAACTCTTATTGAGAGACGCTTATTGGTTTCAGATTATTAAAAGGATACGTTAATTTGTGGGCAACAGTGACACGCGTCTAAAATATGATAGGCGTTGATTTTAAGACGAAAATACACTTCAAGTACGAGCTGCTTGATCGCTCACAAAAACACAATAGACAGGACGCCGAAATTAAGACATTTTGAGTGTAATAGATGCGATGTAGTTATGGGGAAACACTTGCGATCTGAGGTCGCAGAATACAAACTAAAATAGCATGTGTGGTTTGAATCCAAAAATACTGCTTGAATTCACAGCTAGCTGTTCAATATTACCTACTTTGCTCAACAGTGAGCAAGTTGCCGCGAAACTACTGGAAACATTGAGCAACTAATATTAATTACTGCTTTATTTTAGCAGTTTACGAGCGATTAGCATGTTTAGCACTTACCTCCTCGCTGTATCACACCAAGTATATGACCGCGGCTTCTTCTCCGATCGAATTCGCTTCTGATCCCGCTTTCGGGATGCTCGGTGGTGTCAGATAATAATAATATTCATTCTAAATCCATGAGGTGGATTTGTGATTTTGAATTTAGTTGAAAGTGCTGTTTTAAGGACGAGGCAGTGGATTTGCTACCGTCCAACAACACAGGCGCACTGTGATGCCGTCTGTTGTGTTTGTAGCGCACTCGTTTTAAATTCCGCATGTCCCAACCACACAGACAGTATTTCAAGTCAGGGGGTTCCCACTCTGTCGGCACACTCGGTACAATATTTCAAGCGCTAACATCTCAAAAATCCGTCGAGGCACGATGACGACTAAATGTGAAGCATCGGTTCTCTGCACCATGCTCCTGTAAAGATTTGCAACAGCAAGTACGTGTATTTTGTGTAATTTAAGGTACTGTATTGCTTTGATTGTTTTAGTCTTGTCATTTCTGCTAAACCGTGTTTCTTACTACTCTTTGTAGTATTTCTGACGTGTCACGAGTTGTGGGGAAAAATGTTTCAACACTTCGACCTTCAAACTTTCCTATACCAGTTTCCACTCATTATAAAACACGCGCAGAAGTCGTATTATGATGTTATAGAACCCCCTTCTAGCTATGACATTTCAATTCATTCGTATGTCGACAGCTCCAATCAAATGTGCGCTAGAATTTAATGTCACGTGATTTCATTTTTATCATATTAGGACAGTGTTATAAAACAAATAATGCATCTCACATACTTGTAACAGTAAATATTATTTTTTAAACAGCAGTCATTATTTTCGTTCATATAACAATGGAACAATTACCCAAATATTGTGTGTCCGACCTTGTTTTTTTTTTTTTTTTTGTATGGCGGAGATGAGATTAAACCAGGAAGAGCATGATCAGATAGAATTTTTAGTTCACACTCGAAAGTGTACAAAGGAGACCTCATGCGGGCTCACCCGCTGCTTTGCTGCAGTAAAAGAGGTGTGAGTTCAGCTGCATCTGCAGGATGTGATGTTACAGTGTCCCATTGACCACCTGTGCTCCACGTTTTCTGCATGACTTCCCCTCCAAGCAGCTCCGTCAGCATCCCACATCGAAGCCGATCTGCTCTACCACAGTTCGGTCTGATCATATCAGCTTGCCAGGAAAGTCTGCCTGCCATGCTTTGAAAGCCTGTAAGGAGTTTAAAACGGGATGCTGTGGCGGTCCACTGTTTGACCTGAACATATTTGGATATCATATCGTCTCTGGACGTGTGCCTCATTGATTTGGTTTGTGATATTTATGGCAATAACAAGTTGGACTACGGCCCATCCAAAACATCCACACAGCATATATAACACATCTGTTCTTATCAGAGTGCAGAAACTGCTGCTCACTGAAGGATAAAAAAACAATTACTGTACTAGAAATGTTTTAACAGTGCGACCTTGGCGGAGGGCTGCATGCCACTGACTTTTATTCTTTATTCTTCATTTATCATAGCGATATTAAGCCGCATTCCGTTTTGGGGCCGAGACTGCGGTATGCTTCTCCCCTTTCAGCTCACGGAGAGTTCTTCACAGCCGTTGGCATTGAAAGACAGGCTTTAGAGTGTTTGCGTCTGCGGTCTTTTGTTACTCCAGAGTTTGTCTGTACTTGTGCGCTCTAAGGTTCAGCGGCACAGTTCACAGTCTGCAAGGTGGGAGGCGGTGAGTCCATGATAAAGTCAGGTGGTCTGGTAGATGTGTTCAATCAATGGACTGGGAGGAATCCCCAAACATCATCACTGTATGTGTACTTGACTTGGAGTAAAAGACTGCAAAGTGCTGGTACGAGATGTATGCCTACCTCCTACTGGCTGATATGGGCTATTGCCACTTTTTAAAAAAAAAAAATACAGGTACAGTCATAGCCTGCAAGGCTATTTTGATAAATTTGACATCAAATTATCTTTCAGTCTTTTCCAATTTGAGCTGAAAAAAAGCTCCATCTCGATATGATCCAATTTGTATTTAAAAGTTATGTTTCTGTTTTTTGATGTTCGCTCTTGTTAGCCATGGCGACGAATCATTTGAGCCGACTGCGTCCGCTGCTCTGTCAGTCCTTGCGATCGCTCCGGTGTGCCCCCGCGACGCTCAGCGCCCCGCCTTTGTTCCCCAGTGGCCCGTGCCAGCCTGCCGCGTGCGTGCGGCTCTATGCCACCAAGAAGGCTAAAGGTTAGTGTGGAGTGACTTGCGGGCGCCGTGTCCCTCGCTGAACGACCTTTCTCATTCTCCTCCTAGCCAAGACAAAGGGACAAGCGGCCAAGGTGAATATTAGCGCCGCTCTGGTGGAAGACATCATCAGTCTGGAGGAAGTGAAGGACGACATGGCGGCTGTTGTCAATGCGCTCAAAGATGACTTCACACGTAACCTCAGCATCAGAACCTCACCCGGTATTGTCTCATGTTGTACGATTTTGAGCCACACTTGCAACTTGACTGCCACAAAATACTTTGATTTGATTCTTATTTTTTTTAAACATACAAATCCTCACGCAGTCCTTGTTTGCATCACAGAGTGCCCCGTATGACCTTACCTTGACCCCACTTTGACCATGATTTCCCCAACTACATCCAGGTCGTGACCCGGTGCCTCCGGCCTGGAAAGTTGGTAGCTCGGTTATGGGGATGAGGGTCAGAGGGGGATGAAATGGAAGGCCTAATGGGCGGAAGGAGATCGTTCTATTCACCTTGGCGATATGCAATTTCTCTTGCTTTTGCATGTGCCGAAGCAGCAATAGAAAAACAACAGTCCTTAAATGGTCAATGCCTCAGTAGTTATGTTTTCATATTTGTCCTTCTCCTGACCGCCTTTCTTCTTTTTCACGTTCTGGCTCAAACATTTTCAATGACGAGCACGAAAGAAACTCTCATTTCCATCCGCTTCCTCGGCCTCCGTCCCTTCATCCATCCATCCATCTGTCCGTCCGCCTCGCTTCTGTCCAGCTGCACGGTAATCCGGGGAGGCAGCCCGGACTTAGGTCTGACAGCGGGGATGAGATGTTGGAATGGAATGACGTCAGTTGTCCGGAGCGAGCGTGCGTGTCTCGTGCGCAAAAGCGTACGTGTGTTTACCGCAACTTTCTCATCTGGATTTAATCAGGAGGAAGTGCGTCTCTAACTGTATGAAAGTGTGTAGAAAGCCAGAGATCGATAGAGGGAGAACATTCGCGGGAGTTGTTGCGGTCAAAGCTCGGTTGCCAGGGCGACTTCCACGCAGCATCATCCTGTCGGGTTGCTTTGAAGGATTGGTTTGACTTGTAGAAACGGACGTCTTCGACGCAGTCATCAATCAGTCGGGCGCAAGCCTTCAAAAAGAAGAAAGAACGGTTAGATTTGCAAGTGACGCGTTTCCCCTCAGTGAATACCTGAGAAAGATTTGGCACAGCGTAAGACGACTGTTGCCGTTCATATTGTTTTCCTCATTTATAATTTCTCTATATTCGTAATACAGGCTTAACTTTTTTTTTCTTGTAATATTAAAATTCATTTTTCATTTGTCTGACTTTCCTGAAGTAGTGAAATTTTTCCCCTTCCCCCCAGTGTTGCCCTTTTCAATATTGTTATGGAATGTGGTTAAAAAAAAAAGTTCAATTTTGTAAATTTCTCACATGTTAAGCGATGTGGTCGAGATTTCTGATATCCTCCCTGCCAGATCTCTTACCTCTGTCTCTCTCTCTCTCCTGGTAAAGAAATGGCCGCCTGTCTGGCCGGCGTAAGTGCTAACAGATGTTGTAGGTGCACGTTGTCAAGGCACAAGTAACAAAGCCGGACAGGCAGAAGGTCAGAGCTACGGATCGGAAACCCTGCGACCATATTTGTACTCGCCATATCTTCTTCTTGTATCTGAGCTTTGGAATCAAACAATGAAACGGTCACATCAAGGAAATGACTACTGTCACCTCTCTTTCAACCCCCCTCTGCCGCCCCCCTCCCCCCACACACCTTTGCACGCACAAAAGCACACCACCAGCAGTGTCATGAGTTGCAACCTCCGCAGCCTAAGCAGGCACAGAGTGATGTAAGGCAGAGGTGGAAGAGAAGGAAACAACTGCGTCTGAGGTTAGCCAGATGGAAGGAGAGGGGAATCGAGGGGAGATGGTGGAGGCGGCTGTGGGGGGGTTCGAGGTCAACACACCTTTGCTTCTCTCATCACTGAAGCGAGAAGAGGTGCTCATAAACAAAAAAAAATAAAAAATAAAATAAACAATTATTTTCTTGAGCCGCATTCGTTCTTGGTCACTTTCTGACCAGATGATTAATTGCCTGCTGAAAATGAGTGTCAAACTCCGGCCCTCTGGGGCCGCTTTCCTGCACCTTTTCCATCTCTCCCTGCTGTAACACACCCGATCCAAATGATCAGCTCATCAGCAAGCTTTGCGGGAGCCTGATAAAGATCCTGATCATTTCGGTCTGGTGCGTTGCAGCAGGAAAACATGCAGGGTAAACGGCGCTGGAGGACTGGAGTTTGACACCCGCGCTCGAAAAGATGATCCCTAGCAATCATCCCAATGTAGCACACCACACACACCACGTGATAATCATTTGGGATAATCTTTTCTTTTTGTAATCTTTTAAGAGTGGTTTTTACCTCCCAGATCTGCTCGGAACGTTGTCGGTCGGACAATTGTAAATTTTAATATTTACGATGGCAAAAAGTGCGTTTGGTTCGCTTGGCAAACATAGCCAATTAGGGAGCGCGCGCAAAGTCCTGGTGTTGCTAGACCATAATTGTGGAGCAACCGTTTGTGATGAGTGTGTGTGGGTTTTTCTGGGGGGTGGGGTGGGGGGTCGTCAGTGAAAAAGAAACAACGGTAATAATGTTGACAAATGTTTAGTCATGTGTACATGTGCCATGTTGTATAGGAGCTCTGGACCACATTGTGGTGTCAACGCCAGATGGGAAGTTCCCTCTCAACCAGCTGGGCCAAGTCTCCATGAAATCCCCTCAGCTCATTCTGGTCAATATGAGCAGCTACCCTGAGGTAAGATAGTCACTCACACACCAACAAACATGCGTTTTTTTTTTTTTTTTGTTTTTTTTTTGTTTTTTTTTCACTGGCACCCGCGTGTGATAGACGCTAGCAAGCTAGCTAAGGTACGGTGCGGTTCATGTAAGTATCAGCGTCACAAAAAAATAATCGGGGGATGACTCGTTTGTTTGTTTGAGCAACTTTTAGAAGCAGGCTGTTTCCCCGTTCCCCAATGCCAGATGATGACACCATACAGTATCAATTTTTTTGTTTGTTTTCATTCTGGGGGCTTTCAGAATGGCTTTTGAATATGGCCTGAATATGGTTCTCTTAGTTAGCACGCACTTTTTCTTCATTTTTTTTTTTTTTTTTTTTTTTTTTTTTTTATTCGTTCTTCCAAAGCACATGTGATAGCACTCCAAAACGTTTCTTGGAAATTTGCTACGTCATTTTTTTTGTGTCATCCTGCTGACTCACAAACAAACTGCGGGGAAAACCGTACCTCTGGTCTTGGTTCTTTCGCGCTGTGCGAAAGGTAATATAACCTGAGGCTTGAAGTGGAGCCAGAGCAGACATATGAAACCTGACCTCAGTGTCTCACTCCAACTTTGTCTCATATGCTAATTGATGGATCACTCGAGGAGCCCTTTGTTCTGGGGTGAAAGATAGCACCATGAACTTGAACGGTGTGTGTGCTTATATGTGCATAGATACGTCTGTGTGTACGCTGTCACCGAATAGGAAATGACCTCATCTTACCCCCAGGTTAGGAAGGAATGGATTATTTTTCTTTCCTTTTTTTTTTTTTTTTTTGAATACCCTCCTTTCCTTTCTTCACTGATACAACACTGTACTAATCACAGCTCTGGTTCATCCACGAGGCTTATAGTGTCCAGACTTTTTCCAGACTGGTGGTCTGGAAAGTCAAAGCCCCCCCCCCCTTTCTTTTACTTTTTCAGTACAATTAAGTCATTACACAATCATCCATCCATCCATTTTCCATATATTGCCTTTTTCTTCTTGTTTTCATTTCACTCACAATAGAACTCCTGACCTGCCAGGAAATTGAACAATGAACGCAACAATATTTAGTAATCACTCTTTAAATGAGCTCACCGAAATCATGCAGGTGGAATCATGACTTAATACTCGCCCTAATACTTAGAGCCGTAGCATTTGTTCCGTTTCTTCCAGCTGCGAGGGTGGCGTGAATTCATAAGTTGTAAAATGGAAAAAAGGTAAGAAAAGAAATCCCTTCCATCCTCATTTAAAATCTTTTTTATTCTACGCACACATGTCCCTCGCAGCTATTTGCGGAAAAACTCACCTATCTCTAAAATTGCCACAAAATAGCGCCAAAGCCCTGTCTAATAGGAAAGTAGAACATCAGTTTCAATGAACCATGCTGAAGTGAAATATCTCGACTTAGAGGCACGCTTTTTATATCTACGAAGAGCTAAGATTAGCTCGGGTCGTTACGGAGAGTCATTACTACATGTGCATCAACTGACATGAGCACTGCTGATTTTTAGAATTTTTTTTTGCTCTTTGTGGCAAGGCTAGCTCCAGGTTTTACTTTCTCGCTGCCGTGCAAAATGACTTGATTGTGCACCAATGCTAACCTTGTAAGCTTATTTCGTAAACCCAGCACCCCCCTGTGCTTGGCCTATGACAATGCTCGGCCAGCCAGTGGTCCTCTGGTAAGTGTTTATAAGCAGCGACTCTTAACCGCAGACCACACGCACGCTCAAGCAGACACACAACACAGGCAGTACTCTGGCGTGCAAGTCGCACACAGAGGTGAGGCCAGCGTGCCCGGAGCTAATAGGCTTATAATGACGCCGATCCATTACCGGGACTTCCAGATGCCCTTCAATTGTTTTCCAGTCATTTATTAACAAGCAGCAGGCCCGTGTTTGGGTCGTAGGTGACTAGCACCAAAGCGCTCGTACACGCAGGCGGACAGCGAACCCGCATTCCTTTTCCGCTCACTTCTTGGCTTCCAACGAGGGCCGCCTGCGTTTGATGTGAAAATTCAGTGTAATTTACTCTGGTCCCCACTTACATATTAACGAGAACCTGGCCTGAATATATATATATATTTTTTTTTTGTGCAAAAAAAAATGTCCGTCAGGAGTGCGGAAGCGATGATGAATATGACGCTGAGAACGCTCAAACATTGGTATGAGCCGAATCTATCACTTGCCGCTCCAAGAGAGCAAGAAGAGGTCTGTTGCTCTCTGGGCGATTTCCGCAAAGGAAAAGAAACAAGAGCTGAATGAATGAATTCATTGCGCACAAATAAGTTCCTTTAATCTCGTTGCCATTTCTTTTCCCCTGAGTGGGAAACACCAGAAGGAGCTGTCTTGAAAGGAGAGAAGGGAGGGTTTAAAAACAAAAAAAAAGAAAGGATATGCACATTTGTATGCATTTATAAACTCTTTGGAATGCTCAGCACAGGGAATTGTCATGCCGCGAAATTGTTTGGAAGTGATTTTCCTTTCTCCTGTATGCAAAGTCTGCAAAGTGCAGCATCTGGTAGGATGTTTACAATCTCTCAGCAATGCCCTCGTGTGTCCAAATGATCATTGTCAAGATTGCGCTTCGCTCTTTTTCTTTTCTTTTGCTTATTTATTTATTTATTTTTTTAAATGCGGGGGCGGGGGGGTCCTACTTCCCTCCTAAACGTCATGCAGGATGCCGGATTTTATGGCTATCTGATGTCCAATCAGACTGACATTTGAGGCCGTTCCTGAAAGAAGGATCTCTCTGCAGTTTGGATCACAACACCGATCAGTCGACAAAGCTCAGCTTCTCGTAATTACATACGCAGGTGCGCGAATGGCGGTCAGCAACAACGCAACAGGTCAACAAGAATGAGCAACGCGAGCCTGCGGTGATTTCATCCACAATGAGTCCGCACCTGACTTGATTTCGAGTGCAACGAGAAGACTGTGGCGAGCTAATTGTGTCGTAATATATTGATCGGGGAGAAGTACGGATAGATTGTATGACATTTTTTTGCTTTCGAAAATAGTCTTGATGAATTGTATTTTTTGACGTGTACATGTTCGGATGAGGCCTCAAATGTTTAGTTGTTGTTTGATTGACCATATGAGCAGTTTAATGGCTTACTTATTCTCGTTTCAATAGAATATTAAAATCGTAACAAAATGGCTTTCAAGGAGGACTATTTTTCCTCATAATTTCAGTTTTTTTTTTTTTTTGTGTATGTTTTTTTTTTCTTTTGGTGGTCCTAACACTCATTTGTGTGTGTGTGTGTGTGTGTGTGTTTGTATGTGTGTGTGTATGAGAGCAGGCTCTCTTGTTGGGTCACTGTGGGTCAGCGCCCTGCCCTGTAGCCTCTCAGCCCGATCCCACAGGACTGGCGCTGACAGTGGCCCAAGGCACTTCCACAGTGTACGGGCAGCCACACACACACACACACACACACACACACACACACACACACACACACACACACGTTCCCCACCCGAACACACACAGCATACAGAACACCTTAATGACTGCCAGCTGGAGAAAGACCACTACCTGCAGTTGTAGCTTTGATTTTTTTTTTTTTTTCATTCACCCCACCTTTCCTGTGCATGTTCTTGCCTCTGTGTGTGTGTTTGTTGGTCTGTTCGTGGCCTCAGGCGACGGCAGCAGCTACCCGTGCCCTGAGAGAGAGTAGCATGAACCTCAACCCTGAGGTGGACGGGACAATCATCAAGGTGCCTGTTCCGAAGTGAGTCTCTTCTACACACACGTGCCCGCACTAACACAAGACCCCTGCTAACAGCCAGTTGTGCATACAAACCGCACTACAAACGACACTTAAGACACCAAAGGCTATGTTAGCACCGCAGCTCAATAAACGGTTGGTTTAGAACATCTCAGCATTGACGTGACGTCATCTTCAGTGGACGTCTCCATGAAGTGAGATCGAGGAGCGTTGCCTCGTGTCTTCAAAATATTTCTACCTCCTCCCACTTCTCTACTCCCAACGAAATGAAATGACAAAATGAGTCCCTACACAGTCGCTTAAAAAAAGGGAGTTCATTTCGCGAACTCGTCCCAATATTTGAAGAGTAAATATTGCACTATTATCAGTGTAAAGGCGTGAAGTTGTCATCATAATTCTACAAGTGAAATATAAATGATCCTGAGGAAGAAGAAAAAAAGTCTTACTGCAAGAACCGACTTAGTTTTGTCATGTGTGCCTGCCCATTAATTTGAGTCTTTCCATGCGGTCCTTTGCCGTCCATATTGTGCACATTTGCATATAAGATGGAAAGCAAGCCCGTTTGTTGACGTGCGTGCCTTTTCCCCGGCGGACGCAGCAGCAGCAGCAGCAGCAACAGGTGTTATTCTGATGGAGTAGGGACACATGCGTCGGACCGCTCTCCCAAAACGCATTCACCCGCCCCCTCCAATCAGCCCCGGCACGCTCCCGAGCCGCCATTTGCATCTGCAAAGAGAAGAAGAAGGCGCCCGTTGATTCGTGCCGCAATCAGCAATTAGAGCCTATTGTTTGCAATAAATAGATGCTACTCGTGGATTGTTTGCAAATAGTCCACGACGCTCGAAAACGGCAATTAAGGACAAAGGAGCAGAATGACACGGCGAGTCAAATTTTCCGAATGATTAAAACAAAGGGAGGTGATTGCAAAAGTTGTCGGGTTGATGAACGTTTCAGTTCTGGAGTGAAACCTCCGGGGGAGTAATTGTTTGTAAAATAGCAGTTAGAAACTTTCGACAAAATAACAGCCTCATTTTAGCACTTTGTTGGGCGTTTGTTTTAAAGGTATAATGAAGGGCGAGTTGGGTCAGATCCACTTAAGGACGTTTGAAGTGATACAACTTGAATCACGCTCAAAAAGAGCGGAGCCCTCCGTCAAGTTGGAATCGTTAATTAACAAACGCGAATACAATTGATGGATTATTGTTTGTTCCTCCAGCCACATGGGGGCGTTTCGTTGTATCTTTTATGGCCCTCGATGTGCTTTTCATTCAAATATTTCCTGTCATTTTGGCTTGAGTTGTACGTTAGCATCGTGCGATTTGCGCGCGGACGTACTGACCGTTTATCCTCCATGCCGTCTGTCCGCAAAACCTCAGAACATAATTTGCTGGATTCATACAGGATCGGTAGCTCAAGTTGAATCCACATTGGCCGCATTTATAACATTGAACATGTACTGACCGCACCTTGCGGTCCACTTAAATACGGTCTGCCGTTCGCCAAAGTCAGCTGGGATTTCGGGTCCGCTTCACTGCTGAACTGCGGCAGAGAAAACCGAAGGTGTCTTGAAATCGCTAACCTCCGCTTAACTATCATGATTCCTCGACCGCAGCAGTGAATGGATCTCACGGGGGCAAATGGTCAAAGGCTTGGCGGCGGCCCGCTTTCTCGGAGTAACTCACTGCTACTCTGGGAAAAAAAAATTAGTCGAAAAATTTTCTATGGTCAGGGAAAGCCTGTTTAATATCACCGTCACACGTCAGCAAAGTCTGACCAGAAAGTAGACTGCGGCTTTTAAATGCGCAGGCCCGCTCTTGTTTGCCGGGGATGAAACTTTTTTTTCGGGCCTTCTCCCTCGCAGGGTGACACGTGAGCACAGAGAGAACCTCGCCAAAACGGCCAAGCAGTTCAGCAACAAGGCCAAAGACTCCCTGAGGAGAGTGCGCTCAAATGCTGTGGCGCAAGTGAAAAAGGCCAAGGAGGGACACTCCGAGGACACCATCCGCCTCGTCGAGAAACAGGTACAAAGGACGAAAAAGGGGGGGGCCTTTGTCGTCACGAGCGCGACTCCTCCACCGCAACTGTCGCGTCTCTGTCGCCGCAGATTCAGCAGATGGCCGACGGCATCGTCGCAGACATCGACAAACAACTCGCAGCCAAGACCAAAGAGCTGCTCGGTTGAACGTGAGGAGACGCACCAGCGGCCGTTAGATTCGATACCTCGGCATTTTGTCGCAGGCATGTTTCATCCGGCAACATAAACTCAACGGCAATAGGTTTTGGGACTCTTGCGTCGGTTTCACGTGTAAGCGGAAGATGGATCAAAACCGTGCGGTTCTGGACTACAACTTCCATGACAGTGGCAGAGATGTGAAATGAAATGAAAATGGCTCTCAAACAACAGTTATCGTTTCAATGTGACCACTTGAAGACTAACACATTAATTTGGGGCCTGGTTTTGACACGCGCACGACGACCATTCACCAAACTACATTTACACTTGTCACAAAGAATCCGAATATAAGCCTTTCCGCTCAGAACGTCTTTGAGGTCTCGCAGCGGCAAACGGGCCGCTGTCGGGCGTCGTCGCGGGAACGTCATGTCAAAATATGAGCAGCATATTCCCATTGTCATTCGTCCTTTACGTATCAAACTATTGCAGCTCATGGGGATCATTTTGACAGTGTTTACGGGGTCGTTGCGTAATTGCAGCCCAGGAGGTTTTCTTTACGTTGTTGCCCCAATCACAAGCAATGATGCACAGAAAACAAACAAACAAAACCAAAAAAAACAAAAAACGCTACATCCTCCTTTTTGCCGACTTCAAATAAATAGAACACTGGGAACAAATAGCTTTTTAATGGGATTTGTGGGCTTCCTCCTCATCAAACCTCTTGCCACAAGTCTGTCTGTTTATATAAAACAAGCGCACCCGTCTGGATGTCAACTGGCTTTGTTTTTTGGTTTTTTTTTTTTTTTTCGTCCCGCTTGCAAAAGCAGTCAACATTGTCAACGAGTTGCTAAACATTTGCCTCGCGTTCGAGATTGAAAAGGCATCTGCATGTCGACCACCGACCACACGTCTTCGTTCTCCCCTTTAAATGATTATTGATGGACCCTATTAAAAGCCAAACCGCTTTTTGTAGTGCGCGATGGTGCGTGCGTGCGTGATCGCTCTTATTTTCTTTTTCTTCGCTTTCAGTTTGAAGTCGACCCCCGCCTCCATTACTTTGAGTGATAATGGACTTTTCCTGTGTGCGCGGATCTGACTGTTGGCACTACAATGGTCCATTTGGGTGGGGTGGGGTGGGAAGAGGTCAGTGGGGGCTTTTAATATTGTCTTTGTTTTGAAATTGCTGCACTTGGAAAAAAAAAAATACGGGACTCCTCTTGTAGTCCGATTGTATGAATAGGAGGAGGACCATTAGCATCGACTCCCGCTTTCCTCTTCCTGTGGGGTTTGTCCTAAAATTTCGATCTGCTTCGGGCGCAACGCAGCGGCCTCACAAACACACGTGGTTGATTTCATTCCATCACGCTTCGCCTTTTGTTCAAAAATAAGGTGTTCGAGCGAAGTGGGCCTTCGTCCTTCAGCGCGGCGTCGCTTTAATGGGCTAAACAGAGCCGAGTCGTTGGATAAACAAAGAGTTTAGCGAAGGAGCGTCCGCGCGGGGGACGCGGGCGGCCTCGCGTGGAAATGGCAGCGTTCGCCGCACCATTCCGTGTCCAGATGTCAGCAATTTTGGGGGCATTGTGTACCTTGGCCTGCAACAGAGGCTTCATGATCGATGGAGGGCTGAAAATCTCCAAGTCTCTGGCGCAACAAACGCAGGCCAAGCGTGAGGAAATTGCTTTCAGCTGATAGCTTCATTTCGCTTGACATTTATCAAGTGGAGGACGGGTTCTTTTTTTTTTTTTTTTTTCTTCTTCGTTTGAATGTTTACCGCAAACGGCACACCGTGTTCTCGGCTCGTGTGTGCGTGTGCGCCTTCCGTCTTTGTAGAAGTTGCGGCGTGTCCTTTTTGGTCCTTCCGCAGGAAAAAATATACAAATCTAAATTTACTCAGTAAACTTTTGGCGCGGATTTGATAGCAGGGCCTTTTATTTGCTTTCTGTACACGGAAGGAAAGGTCACCACACATACGCTGTGATAAGTGGGATGTGCAAAACCGGAAAAGTTTGCTAATCACTGCGCGACGAGCCACTTCAATAGGTACACCTGCATAATTTGACAAACAACAACCAGATATGATGTCGACTGCGCTCTGCCTTTAGAAAGAAATGAATGATCACTGGAGACATTTTTTTTCCCCCCCGCAGGAAATAATACAAAGTGGGTCAACTCTCTGTGAGAGAGTTATTCTTACTTTGGACAAATTGTGATGTCACAATTTGGCTAACTTGCATCGTAGAAAGGGTTCTGTCAGTCGTCATCGCAAATTGTGATGTCACAATTTGGCTAACTTGCATCATAAACTGCCGATGACATGACCAGCTGGGTTTTCACGAAGCTCCGGTGCTATTTTAAAATAAAAGCCGCATGCTATCACATCAAAATCAAAATGTGAGCATGTGGTTGGAGATGCGTAGATTAGCGTTAGCTTCTGACGAACGGCACACACGGTGCTGCCTCCACGAGTGTGAAAATGCTTTTTTTATGGTCTTTGCGGGGACTCACTCGGCCTCACGTTGAAGAGATTCCGGGTTTGAATCTCAGGCTTGTTGCTTTTTCTCCACTTGCTCTGCTCCCTCCCGCCTTCCCCAAAGACGTGCATGTTTGGTTTATTGAATCGTTTATCGGCGCAAGTCTTTGTTCATGCAGTACATTGACTCGAGCAACCAGTCCAAGGTGTATGCCGCCTCTCGTCCAAAGTCAGCCGGGCTCGACTTACAGAAAAGCCGCATGCTATCACATCAAAATCAAAATGTGAGCATGTGGTTGGAGATGCGCAGATTAGCGTTAGCTTCTGACGAACGGCACACACACGGTGCTGCCTCCGCGAGTGTGAAAATGCTTTTATGGTCTTTGCGGGGACTCACTCGGCCTCAGGTTGAAGAGATTCCGGGTTTGAATCTCAGGCTTGTTGCTTTTTCTCCACTTGCTCTGCTCCCTCCCGCCTTCCCCAAAGACGTGCATGTTTGGTTTATTGAATCGTTTATCGGCGCAAGTCTTTGTTCATGCGGTAGATTGACTCGAGCAACCAGTCCAAGGTGTATGCCGCCTCTCGTCCAAAGTCAGCCGGGCTCGACTTACAGAAGTGATTCAAAAATGGTTAGACACATGTAGGCCGCGCGCCCGCACCCACAAGCGCACGCTACAGGTGGACGCTCTTACTTTCTGCGGCGAACCGAGATTGGTTTTAAGGAGGAAGTTGGACATCCTCATAATCAGGTAAACTAATAGCGGGCAGTGTGAGTGTTTCCTTCCGCCGCATTCGGCGTGTCAGTCATTGGCAGAATTGCTCCTGTCTGTCTGGTCTGCGAGCTATTTGGATGGAGCGGAACGTGCGTCCACACAGTAAAGCCCACTTGACGTTTAGTGTGCACCGCAAGGCCCCCTTTTTTTTTGGGGGGGGGTTGTGCTCCCCCCCATTCAACTGACGTGCTTCCACACACCTCCCGTCTCGCCGACTTGAACAAAGCCTTCCCGGTTAGACACATGTAGGCCCGCGCGCCCGCACCCCCACGCGCACGCTACAGGTGGACGCTCTTACTTTCTGCGGCGAACCGAGATTGGTTTTAAGGAGGAAGTTGGACATCCTCATAATCAGGTAAACTAATAGCGGGCAGTGTGAGTGTTTCCTTCCGCCGCATTCGGCGTGTCAGTCATTGGCAGAATTGCTCCTGTCTGTCTGGTCTGCGAGCTATTTGGATGGAGCGGAACGTGCGTCCACACAGTAAAGCCCACTTGACGTTTAGTGTGCACCGCAACGGTGTTCATGCTTAAATTTAGAAAAAAAAAAAAGATGCAGTGGTCGACTGTCATTCTATTTTGTGAGTGCTGCTTGCTGCAAATCTTTGTTCAAAACGACTCAGCCAGAAGAAAATGTGGATCAACTCATTCAGCGCCAGCCATATTCCAACCAGTCTTTACCCTACCGTGTGAACATTTGGAATTGAATGACTTTTATTTTTAAAGGCAAGGTTTCCAAAACTCTTTTATTTTTTTTTATTTTATTTTTTTTTAACTTGTTCTGTACGATGCGCTTGTCCTATTAACATGTCCCTTGGAAATATGCTAGTATGGTGCCCCTCGGTCAAGCCGCCCCCACCCCCATACGCACACACACACACACACACACACACACACACACACACACACACACACACACACACACACAAGCCGGTCCCCCCATACGCACACACACACACACTCAAACCTGTTGTAGTTCATCCTCTATACCATCAGCCCTCGCTCATAAATAAAGCAGATGGACACCGCCAAAGCCATTGGGCAGGAAGCCTGTTAATCTGCAATCCAATCCAACCCGAGTCAAGACTGAAACTCGGCTCAGCTTGACTGAGCGGGACCTGCGAGGAAGGAAGTGGAGAACTCAGGAAGCGGCGTTCAGAGCTTTCACCAGTCATATCCATCACGAGGGCTGGTGATGGAGGCATGATTCTGTGTGTGTGTGTGTGTGTGTGTGTGTGTGTGTGTGTGTGTGTGTGTGTGTGTCGTATCCATCACACAGGCAGGAGAGCAGTCATTAGAGGGGCTGGGCCGCATTTTAACTAAACATCTTTTTCCATAAAATAAATGCTTCCAGGTTACCGCGGGTCCCGGAGAAGCCAGGTCGCCCAGCGTTTGCTGCCACTCATCTGATCTCAATTACCAGGCCCCGCCAGGTCACAGGCCTGCGCTGGATGCACACTGGAGAAGACAAGCAAGCAAGTGTGCCTTTCTCTTTTGCTTCCAATTGACACATCGCCACCCCGGCGTGAACCTTCCACCCCTTACGTTTCTCTTGACTGCGGCTAGTATTGGGACACACACGTTACGCTTAACAGCGGTTCTCCCCAAAAAAAGTGAGGACCCCCGGGTGGGCTGGGGGGGGGGGTAATAATTAGAGTTTGTCTGAAAGGTAGAAATACGCCCCTGTCCACCACATCCACGTACTGCAAAAGAGATTTTGCTTATTCGTGCATACCAATGACCCAAAAGTGTTCATTTGGTCAAATTCCCCTTCCTGAAACTGGAATCCTGAAAATCCTTTTTTAAGGGTTATTGAACCGCTGAATTAAAATTAATCCACGTTGAAATCGCGAACCCAATGTCCAAAAGGTACAGAATCAATCACGCATTATTTATCGTCATTTTCAATGAAAGATACACCTTGTTTTGTTTGCAAATAAATAAACGGCTTGGGACCTAATTGGATTTCACCACTCACCCGGACTGGGATTTGAAGTCCGATCCTTGTGTCCAAAGTCAGTAACGTTGCCCACTAATTCCCCCCCCCCCCCGCCCCCACAATATCCAATCTTCAACCCAGCCTGCTGGGTGAAATAACCCAACCTTGGGTAAAAGTAACCCAATCTGCTCAAAACCCGCTTCATACATGTATGTATATGTACATACACACACAACACACACGCGCGCGCACACACACATACGTACTGTATCAGCGTCCGCCTGCTTTATGGTGTAAACTCCGTGTGCATTTACATCTCTACATCATCATAGGATAATTGCTTCCTCATGCTTCCCTTTCTCCCCCCCCGTGAATATTAATTACCAGAAGATGAAACCAACCCCTTTGGTCTGCAAGGTTGAGGTCAAAAGAGGGAAAGAGGGGGCTGTGTGTGTGTGTGTGCGTGCGTGCGTGTGTGTGTGTGTGTGTGTGTGTGTGTGTGTGTGTGTGAGTGAGTGTGCGTACGAATGCGGGGAACTACATTCGTTTGAAGGGGAAAACTCGAGGCAATTAATTTGAGAGACAAATAGCTTATTTATCTAATTGAACTTTTTGGAGGGGTTTGATGTATTTTTGATGTTGCTTTTTTAAACAGCCCTGCTCCTGCTACGGAATGTATCCAAATCTGCATTTCATATTTTCAAATGGTCTCTTGAGTGAACCTAATTCGTGATCTTCGTTGGAAAGCGAGAAAACCGTATGCAGGTCGTGTTGGATTCGTGTGGGCGGGTGGATGGCGCCATCTAGTGACTTTATTGAGACTGCAGGCAAGAAGGAAAGCTCAAAAGACTTACCGGTATTTGATGGAGGCCTCCCATAGGGGTCACCAACCCTTTTAGTAACAGTGATAAACATCAATCATTCACAGTGATTGATGTTTATCTTTCCATCCATCCTTTCTCACAAGAATGATGGACACTGATTTGACAATGTAAGAAGCAGACTTTTTATTTCCATCAATCTCCACAAGCGATTCCATTTTCAAATGATCGCGTTCACAATCTTGCCGGGGAATTCACAATGTCCCATCACCATAGGTGCTTTTTTCAAGAACAATGCGTACTTTTACAAATACACCATTATGAATATGTCGCTGCATGCCGGAATCTGATAAGTGCCATATTTAAAAAAAAAAAAACAAAACGGTATGTCCCCAAAAAAAACATTATTTTGAAGATATCACGCGGTTCAATCAAAATTTGTATTTTTCATGATTCTGGCATCATTATAATATTGTGCTTGAGAAGTCAGGGGATTTGGACTTTTTTTTCCGAGAAAATTTTGAATTCTTTTAAAAGTTCATATTGTATGTTAAAAATTCCCCTCGCTAGTATTGACCATTTATCGTAAACAGGAACTTGAGCCTACGACAAAAGGGCATTGAAAGTACATGCTCGGAATGCCCCCTCAAGAAGCTCGTTTTGGTTGTCCTACTTTTAGTCAGTGATTTTCTCGAAGAGTGAACAATGATTCCTTTGTTCAAAAAGCATTGATCTATTTCTTTCTTGTCATGAAGCAACTCAAGATTGCTTGCAGGTGGCCAACGTTGCGATAATGGAAGCGTATCAGTTAACACGCATACAAGAAAAGGAACTGACTGTTCTGACTGTAATTCAAATGAGGTGAAACATTTTTGAGACAGGAAATGAGACAGAACACGACAGTATTTGCTGTGTGTTTCTGAACGACAAAAGTCACTGCTTTTGCTACTCTATACAAACTAAATTAAATCAGTTGCCTTTGGTAAAAAAAAACTACATGTTTGCTCCTCCAGTTGCGTCACTGATGTCTTTTGCTCTTTTCTGGAAAAACCTGCAAGAGAAATATGCAGCACACTATTAGGGGTGACACTTGATACACTCAAAATGGAAAAGAAAAAAGTCACTCATGCGCATCTCTCTCTTGTGAATCACATGCACACAAATATATGTGGTTCGTGAAACGCTTTATTTAATGAGATGAACGTCATAGCTTTGAAGTTTCTGTTGTCGCATAAACAAAAAGCTCAACCTTAGAGGTCGGTCTTTAAAAAAAAAAAAAGCAACATCATCATGACTTTGACATGACTGTCAAAGTCATGATGATGTTGCTTTTTGACACAGTTGATAGACAGACCGAGACGGTTTATTTTTCATTACCTTTTCGGCGCAAATGAATTAGCACTATAATGAGGCCGATCAGTGCTATTCCAATACATGTGCCAAATGCAATCTGGGTTACATTTGCATTGTTTGTGTTTTCCTTCTGTAGCTGTGTTTCATCTATTTAAAAAAACAAAACAAAACAAACAAAAAAAACAGTTGTGGTTGATTTTGTCAGGAGATGATTTTTCATGTGATTGGTCACAAATTAGGAAACAAACCAACATATGGTAGACACATTGTCAGGGTTTTCACTTCCACATGCAAATTTGAAACAATGCTGATTCACGACTCGGGTGACAATTTGGAAATTCTGCGGAATCTCCAGAAATCGGGTATTTATCGGTTATGCCAACTATTCTTTTCTGTTATTTACGACAATGGCTTTTGTGAAAACGTTTTAACAAAAACTTTGAATCAAATGTGCATCACATGTGGCAAAAGTGGAACCAAATTCAACACGTGCATGGTAAATCCCACTCACCTGGGATGAGAAAATTCGCAGAGGAGCTGTTACTGTGAAAACTACATGTGTAGTTGTTTTTCTGCGATGATCCCACCCGTACCTGAGTGGTGATGCTGAAAAGGTGGTCCGCGGTTGTCACAACGGCAGTGCTGGCATTGAGCTTTTGACCGTGAGCGTCCTCCCAGGCCACCGTGGACACCGGGTAGCCCTCGGATTGGCAGCTTAACACGAGCTCGCCTCCAGCCGCCGACTTGGAAATGCTTTTTGTGACCGTTTTATAAGGTGCTGCGAGGAGGAGACAAAGCACACAATGCCCGTTCAACCATTAAATGTGAAATTAAACACGCAAACAAATCTTTGGTCATCCACCACGCTCACATCATCCTACACAGGTGTCAGGCACCCCACAATCATGTCAAATCCAAAAGGTAAGCAGAGCTGCATTTTTTTTTTTTTTTTTTTGGTATAGCAAAGATTGAAGTTAGCTTCTGCTAAATGGCACATAGTTTGAGATATGTTTGCCTCCGGGAGTGAAAATGCTTTTATTGTCTTTTTTTTTTTGCCACACTATAGATTTGTATACAACGCGTCCATGCCAGTTCTGCACCGTAGCTACAATCTAGCTCCTGACCCTGCGCAGCCTTATTTTTTGCACAATTGCCATACTGGTGCGAAAGCCATGTGTCAAGAAGTGTTCTTTACCAGTGACAGATAACTTAATGTCCTTGAAGTCAGCCCCGTTCCTTGTCCGCACCACGCACTGGTAGATTCCCGTGTCGTTGATGCGAAGCCCGGACACCTGTAACAGTAAGTACAGTAAAACACACACATTCAGTTCCACTGTTGTTGTGTTGTCTGTTCGTGGTGTGGACTCATATTGGTACTTCAGTACATTGCATAAGAGAGACATTTGTGTGTGCAAAATCCTGACCTGCAGCCTGGCCCAGCCGTCTTTAATCCCATCCATGAGGACCCTGGCGCGACCCCTGAAGTCCGGATGCTGGAAGGAAACTTGCTCCTTCCCCTGATCCAGGCGGTACACCTCCCGAAACTGAGACCCTGAGATCCAGTACCAGGCCATCATCAAATCGTCATAGGGATGCGGTGACAAAGGGTGGAAGCGGCAACCCATCATCACGTCTCCTCCCAATTCGCCTCTGTATGAGGCTTGTTCAGCATTCGTGGTTAGCGGGACTGCTGGAGAGGAGGCGAAAGGAAAGATTTCAAAGGACTGCTGTGGATTAAAAGTGGTTTTCTAAATGTGCTTTCTGTCCATTTCAAATACCTTGGAGACAGGGCTGAAACACCAATTGCAAAATAAAGACTTTGGTCCAGTTCATTTAGAGCTGTGGGACAAAGGACAAAGACAAGAGAGCAAGAGTCAGCCGACTTTTTTTAAATTTTTTTTTAGGGGGGATGCCTATTTCTTCCTTTTCCAGTATGATACTGGATACTTTTCCTCAATTTGAGAAATTTTAAATTCCTTCATATATTAATTTAATACCCCAGATTTTTTTAATCCAATAAAAAAGTATTTATCGCAGCTTTACCGTAAAAGCAAATTTAAGTGACTTTGATTTTTGGATCCCCCGACCCCCCGAAATTAATGAAAATTTAAAATAGCCTACATAACTCGGACATTCAGGCTGTTCAATGGCCAGTGATGATTTGCCAATTCAGGTCATTCAAAGAGAAGAAATGAACAAACAAGAATTCCTGTCAGATTTTTTTTTCAAATGAAAAAAAAAACATATTTTTCAATTAAGTCAGACAATTTTGAAACAAATTACGATCCATCCATCCATTTTCCAATCCCAGCTGTCTTCGGGCAGTCGGCGGGGGACACCGGGAACCAGATGCCAGCCAATCGCAGCGCAACAAATTACTCTTCAATTTGATATCCAAACTACAACTTAATTTACTTCAAATTCTGATAAAAATAAAACAAGAAATAAATAAACGGGGGTTCTCTTCAACAATTATTCAGTCTCCTACCTCGTGTGTGAACTTGAGTCTTCTGTCCATTCAAGTTTCGAGAGCGGTATTTTGTTTCCACCACACCTCCGGTTCATGTGACATCACGGCAAAACTATACATGGTATCCGCACTGGTCATATAATGGAATAAATTAATATAAAATAATATACACCACAAATAAATATAAAATAAAGTCTTGTACGTGTGTGTGTGTGCGTGTGTGTGTGTATTAGTATATTTTTATTCTTGCGGAAATTATCGTTTCGTTTTACTTTGAAAAGACAAATCAGAAGTGCATTGTCGGTGTACTCTTAAAACTTGACAACTATTTCAATAATCGCGTAATGACGTATGAGGAAACCCTTGTCAGCTTTTGTAGAGTGACATCGTTCGGATATTCGGGTATGTATGTATCTTTTTACAGATATTTCATTTCTTGGCCAAATTAGCAGCTGTTTTGAGGCAATTCGTGCTTTCTTAATTGATTTTCAAAATATTAGCCCTACGGCTAGCCGCGACTAACTAGGAAGTTAAACATATCAAATTGAACCTTTTAGATGGAAAAAAAAGAACGTCAAGGTCAGATAACAAAGTGTCGAGACAGAAGAGTCAAACAGTGTTACTTCCTAGGTATAAAAGGGTCAGTTATAAAATTCTTAGAGTAAATGCATGAAGTGAAAAGGTAACGTGATGTTTGTGCAATCATTTTTTTGTTCCTCTTTCATTTTGGATTTCAAGCAGCTCAGTGGGAACCATCGCCACCATGGGCTTTCTTCTCTCCAAATCCATGGATGCAAACTTGAAAAAACAGCAAGAGTTTATGCTACACAACTCCAGGCTCCAGGTGAGTCCGGTTACTATGGCGATTTAAACACACGGAACCAGTTGTGCCAGTCGAGCAACCTCGAACAAATCTTCAACAGATTATTTTTTTCCCCATGCTCAGTGCCAAAATAAAGCGGTCAAATTCAATATGATTTTGTAAATTTCCAGGAAAATAGTTGTCTCCAAGACTACTACCACTCTTTTACTTTCTTAAACAATGTTTCCCAACCTTTATTGAGCCAAGACACATTTTTTTTAATTTTCCCGTCGCAACACCAAATGAAAACATCACAAAAAGTTGTCCTAAAAGGTTGCCTGTTGATTCAACAACAATAGATACAGCTGATGATGCCCATGTTTGCTTTAGCTCACAATCGTTAAGCCAAACTAAGATGAAACACACCATCAAAACAAGCGCAGTCCATAACAACTCGGCAGAACTTCGCTAAACCTACATGTAAATAGGACAACCAATATCTGGATACATTTATGGTTTTACGAAGGTGTACTGACTGTAAATGAATCTTCTGCCTTCTAGTGGGGAAGAACATTGAATTGTTCTGCCTGTCGTTATATATCACTGGAATAAATACCATACATTTGCGATTCGGATCAAGGAGGAGAAATTGGGTCATTTCACGTTGCACACCTCATTATCTCTCATAGCTATGACACTAGTTTGGGGAATCCCTGACTCAGCAGAAATCTAGTTTCAGTGTCTGATGTAATTGTTTGAATTCGTCGTCATCATCATCATCATCATCGTTATCATTCCTTTTGACAAGCAGCGATAACGTGTGACGTTGATGAAGTTATTTTTACTTACAAACGCAATTGGAAAAGGAAATTGGAACCTTGTGTGAAACGTAAATAAAAATGATACCAAACCACATTCTGCACATGTTTTCACAGTCAGCGTGGTTTCGTAGTCAAAGAGTGCTGGTACTAGACTGGCCTGCCTGCAGTCCAGACCCGTCTCCCATTGACTCTGCCCCAGTTAATTTAATTTATTTTTTTAGGAATGAATGTGTTGCTGCCATAAAATCCAAAGTTTAAACATGAAATATCTTGCCTTTATAGTGCATTTAATTAAATATAGGTTGAAATGATTTGCAAATCATTGTATTCTGTGTTTATTGATGGTTCGTCCCAACTTCAGTGGAATCAGTATTGTTGTCGCTCTGCGTGGTTTTGCTAATTGACAGTGACATATGGAAACCGATTGACGTTATCTCGAAAAAGAAGGCCACTGTTTGTTTTGACTTTCAAGTTCCTCTGAGTCAGCTTAATTCCACGGGTAGTTGAATTCAGTTGGGCTCGATTGAACTTGTTTGTTTTGTTTTTGTTTTTTTTTTTCCAGTGTTACACTTGCGTCACAGTTAATCATTGCCAAGTGTTACTGAAAACATTTCCTGCACAGGAAGTAATTTTTGTGTTTCCATTGTCCATTGACAAAGACATATGCCTTGAGTTGATTATTGCTTTTTTTTTTTAATATTTAAATGGATCGAACCCATTTCCTTTTGTAGCCACTTAACATGATTATTGATGGCTGCAAGCTGCATCCCAGGTGTGTCACACGGGGACACCTGAGCACTAAACCAGATTGTTTTGTTATTTGTACTGTACCTTCATTTACCGCTCCTCAGCCCAGCTGTACACACATGAGATTAAGACTAATCTTTTTTTTTTTTCGAGAATGCTGAACCTGCGGCCATGAAGCCCTCGAATCGGAGATTGTCATTTGTCATTTGAGATTGTCAGTTTCATTTCTCGGATGCCGATGTACTGAATCATGAATCTATGGTGGGAGGGGTGGGGATGGTGCAGCTGGCCAACGAGCGTAGTTTGACATTTGACGTAGTTTGACATTTGACGGTGTTTGTCGATACTCTGACTCACTTTTATCAAAGAGAGATGACGTGTTTCAAGTTTTATTATTTTTAGATGGCAACGAGCTATTTATAAATTTGATAGGTGTCAAACGAAAGACCTGAGGACTCGAGCGGGCCAGCCATAGAATCGTTTGGGAATCAAATGTTGTCGTCTTCACGTTCATGCTAAATTCCTGTTTTCATTTTATTTTTGTCTCAAAATTTGGACCTTCATTTTTTTTCATACAGATATGGCAAGCATTTTTTTTCTCTCCAATTCCCCCAACAGATATCGAACAACAGTTGAACCACCTGTTTTTAGAGTCAACAATTTTAGTAGACGTGTATATCATGAGAATGACATGAATGACATCATACACACTCTTTGTAATATTTAATTCCCACAAACAAGCACGTCAGCCTTCCTGTGTGGAGTTTGCATGTTGTCCCTGTGCCTCCGTGCGTTTTCTCCAGGTACTCTGGTTTCCTCCCACCTTGCAAAAACACAGTTGGCAGGTTCATAGAATGCTCTAAATTGTCCTGAGGTGTGAGTGTGAGCGCGGATGGTTGTTCGTGTACGTGTGCCCTGCGCAAAGACAGCTGCGATAGGCTCCAGCGCACCCTCGTAAGGATAAACGGATCAGGAAATGGATGGATGGAATTCCCACACACAAAGAGAATCACTAAAGAATGCGATCAACAGCAGCGAATACCGTCAGCACAGAATGCGCGCAAACATGACGTAGGATACTCCATCGAAACACTTTGGTTGGCATTTGAAAGCCCACATGTGAATAATTGGTGCTTAAGGGAACATTTGCTGCCCCGCGGAGGATCGGACTTCTTGAAATTAGTTTTAAAAAGAACAACATGGCTTGATTGCGCTAATTATCTCAAGTACATTCATTGCGTATTAATTCACCTCTGACGTAATTGCGGGGGAAGCGTTCTGATTTCGGGCAATTGTTTTTGTGCGGTCAAGCCATGGTAGTCCGCATGGGGTCACGGTAGGAGGCCGCTATTGTTAAGGACAATGGCTCCATCAGTTGGTTCCGCAGAGAAACTGCCCCCTTTAGAAGAAACATTATTTGTCCCCTACACACACACACACACACACACACACACACACACACACACACACACACACACACACACACACACACACACACACATATAAAAGTGAGTCCCCTGGTATATCCACTCTGTTGCTCATATTTCCACCCCAAACGGGGTCGACCACTGAACCCTTTAAATTGCACGTGTCATCCAAATATCCGGTGGCATACATTGTGACGTGCGTATGTGTGTGTGTGTATGTTTTTTTACAGCTGGAGCGTCAGATGATGATGCAGAACCAGATGAGGGAGCGACAGATGGCCATGCAGATTGCCTGGTCAAGGGAGTTCATGAAGTACTTCGGCACATTCTTCGTGGTGGCCTCCACCGGCCTAACCGTGGGGTGAGTTTCACACCTCGTCGAGACTCAGTGCGGTTTTTGGGGCGTGAGTGCATTTTCACAGCTTCACCTTTTTGTCCAGTGGCCTTTTGCCGCTGTAGCGATCGGACAGTCCCGAAATGTCACATTATACGACTGACTAGCTTTTCTCACCAATAGCAGCAACCAGTCTGGCAATGCACAAATCATATGCAGTGTGTCAATTTTTATCCTTTCATGCACCCGCTAACCTGATAACATGATAAGCTGTCCCTGAAAGGGTTAAAAAAAAAAAGGGGGGGTACTTTTGCCCATTCGTCAAGGTGAACATAATCAAATGTGTTTTTCTTCTCCAGTGCCTTAAAAAGAAAGAAACCAGCCATGTTGGCCCCGATCTTGCCACTCAGCTTCATATTAGCCTATCAAATGGACAACGCCTATGGGACACTTATTCACCGAATTCGAGGTAAGGGCAGTCAAGTCGATCATCCGCTCTGTTCGATTGAAGTTGAAAAGTGTTGAGTTGATTTCGTGCGCGCTCACCAAACCTTTGAGAAGAATTCCTCGGTGGACTCGGTTCTGTGCCCTGAGGAACAGTAAATTGAAATGTTCAGTAGTCCCAAATGTTATGTAAAAAAAACCCAAAATACAATGAAATACAACCATCCAGAGGAAAAATATCATTAGAAACTACAGGTGCATAAAAGTCCCCCAAAAATAGGCAACAGGTGACAATAGCGCTCTGTATAATTGTTGTTTAAAAAAGGGATACAGTTATATTTGGGTCCAAAATAGGAGAAGGTGAACGGATTTAGCCCAAAACACTTGCATTCTGCTTTCCCATTGCTTTTTAGGGGAGGCCGAGGGTATCATGGTGTCTGAAAATGACCGTCTGGGCGTGCCTCATGGGATGCCAACCTTCGATAGCATAGAGAAGGCCCGACGCGCTAAAAGCAACCTGGCCTCTTTCTTGGAGAGATAACAATGTCATCTTCCCGAAAGATGCTTCCACGGTAAAACCGTCCATTTGCGCTTGTCAGACTGTTATCTGCTTCTCGTGGTGGGGAAAAGATTTTTATTGCTCTCGGGTCATGTGATGTATGGAATGTGACTTTTTTGGAAGAGGCAGAAGAATTCAATGGCGAAAGATTTGCACCAAATACAACCCGTATACGAAACTTGATCCCATATTGACGATGAATCGGGTGAAGAGCATCAATTTCAAACCTGCTCAGTCTGGATCAACTTCATTAAAGGTGCCTTCGCTGCACATTTTTTATTCATACTCACGAGACTGTCCCTGCTATTTTTTTTTTTTTCAAATACTATACATGGGTGCATCTGAATGAATTAGAATGTGGTTGGAACACTAAACGTATTTCAGTTGTGCAATATAAACAGTGCAACTCGTACATAACTTCACTGAACACAGTAAAATATATCATGACTATTTAAAAATTTTGATGAGAACTCGCAGCTAAAGAAAATCCCAGATTCGTCAACTCCAAAAATTTGAATATTAGGTAACAATTTATTTTTGTTAAATGGTAGAAATTGTCTTTCTGAAAAGCACTTTGTGTTTCATAATGAGATTCAATTTTTCACTTGAACTACTGCATAAAATGGGAACTTTTCTATCATATTCTGATGAATTGAGATGAGCCTCTAGTCAACACACCAAGACTCACTTATTTTGCATCAACATGCGGAAATAATGTAGAAATAATTATTGTTAAAAATCTACCAAAAATAATTCTCTGGTCAGTCAAGACTTGCATCTTTACACGATCAACAATTGAAGGTCACAAAATTAAACTAACGTTGCCAAGCGTGCCTCCCTGTTTTCCGTGTGACCTCAGCGCTGACGCGGAGGCGAGGCCCAATGCGAAGGAGTCGACACCAATGCCGCTTTGAACGCAGGAGTCCACCACGCACGCTTGTAATATTGCCACGCGAAGAAATAAACCTCAGCGCGTCATTGCCGTCGGTCAAAATGACGCATGCACATGTGTGTGTGTGTGACGGAGAGAGAGAGAGAGAGAGAGGGAGAGTCTGGAGCGACTCCGCAAAGTTAAGCAGACAACTTTAAAAGATGTGGTCCACTCCAAAGAAAACCACTCAAGTTCCATTAGGCCAGAGGACTTTATTTTTTAATGGAAGTCAATTTGCTGCAGTGACAGCTAATTGTTGAGAAGCATGTTTTTGAGAGTCGCCGTATGCGTGTTGCTGTCGGCGCTGGTCGTGCACGGCGACGTGCAGCCTCACACCATCAGCAGAGCGCTCCTGCCCAGGGTGTACGGAGTCAAGCTATGCGGGAGGGAGTTCATACGAGCCGTTATTTTCACCTGCGGAGGCTCCCGCTGGAAGCGATTCATCGACGCAGACTATGGTGAGCGGACGTTTTGTTTTTCATGTGAGATTGTGACGTGAAAAGTGGATTATTTATCATCAGTGAAAAGGAAAGAGTCAGCATTAAAGTACTTTATTATGAAATCTATGTACTGTATTCTGATTGATCCAATTTGAATTGAAAACGTTTTAAATATTTGTCATTGTTTTTCCACTCTGAAGTAAATATTTTCTCTCTCAAATCTACTCCATGAACAGAATTGGAATTTAGCTTCAAATTCAAAATTACAATTTGTATTGATTTTTTTTTCCATAGAAAAGAGATGACACAACAGTGCTTTTTATTGGACAGAAAGGAAAAAAAAAATCTCAATGTTTTCCAAGACCCAATTCCGTGACCTTCATCCAACACATGGCCCACCAGTTGAGAATCACTGCTCTACTTGATGTAGCGCTCATGTCTATTATAAATATTATAAAAAACCTGTAAATCCTGTAAAGTGTGCTGTTCATTTTTTTTCTCCACAAGACATTTGTTCTGTTTTGAATGAATGCACTGTATATGTGGATCTCGCCCAAATATCTATCTATCGATCCATGTGTGTCTAAATATCGTGTTTTTTTAGATGTGTCCACCAGATGGCGCTTCCACATTACAAACATGCCGCAAATATCATACAGCTCTAATTGTCTTGTTTCAAATGTGCCTTTGCACTGAAATGTAAATATATCTTGCTCGGATTTTGTTTTTTTTTCATAATTCGTAATGACAATGAAATGCATCAAACGATGTGACAGTAATAACATGATATCTTTCTCCAGAATCCTTCCATCGGAGTCCCCACGGTGACGTCACAAAAAAGATAGAGCAGCTCACGTCCCACACCCGTAACCTTCTTCCCCGGCGCACCTCCTCCTCCATCTTTTCTCCAACTTCCCTGGCGGACAGCTTGACCCTTCGCGCTGTTTCTAGCAAGAGTGACCAGCACGATTCGTCCAACGTTTTTGATGCGCTGGCTCAAGAACGGTGGCGGAGGCGGAGGCGCTTTTCTCAGGGTGTAGCGGGCGTTTGCTGCAATGAAGGCTGTACGAAGAATGATATTGGAGGCTTATGTTGAAAGGGCCCCGCGACGTCGTGTTGCCATGTAAATATCTCATCACAAATTATCCAGGTTTTGTTTGGGGTGGGGAGGGAAATGTCAGTTTTCCCCCAAAAAATAAACGAAATGTATTAAGTAAAACAAGAGTCGTGTTTGTGTCCAGACTCAGAATCGTGTTTGACTGTACCTGTATAACAGATGGTGATAAAGAAGAATACATCATGAGTAATGATCAAAATGTTTTTTTTAAAATAAAGAAATTAGGGAATGTCCATCCGAAAAAATATTTCCTGAGTCAGCATATGAGTTCCACTTTTTGAATTGAACAACTGTGGATCACCCCCGATATTCGCGATTCGGCATTCTCAAATTCACCTATGAGTTGATTTTTGTCTGTAAAGCCACCGATTTGCTGTTTCCGTGCTCCGGACAAATCGATCCCTTTATTACTTTGGCACCATCTTGGTGTCAAGAAACGGTGTTAAAGTGGATTGAGGAGTCGGATTTAGCCCACAACTGCCCCTCGACTGTCTGGTGACCAATTCAGGATGTACCTGAGTTCTCCGTGAATTATGCTTTGCTGCCATCTTGTGGCTATTTTATAAACTGTCCCTATCTCCTGCAACTGCAACTAAAATAATCGGAACTTTTCCACCATATTCCGAAATATTGGAAGACACTTTTTAATAACAAATGTACTATTAGACCATAGAGATTGTCTCAGAGACAAACCCAACATCACGAGGTGCTTTAATGTGAATTCTCCCCACAGCGTCTAACCAGACAATGAGTCCAAAAGAAATTCATACACTGATTACAAGACTTGATCATTTATTAAAAGACAGTTGTAAGGAAAAAGTCTGTGAACCCTTTGGAATGACTCACATTCCTCATATAATTCATCAAAGTCATACAAATATACAGTCTGTTTAAATTGATACCATGCTAACAATTTTATGTTTTTATTGGGCACATGTTTAAAGTGCAGGCTGGGACAAATATGTGAACGTGACTTCTTTGAGTGCTAATCTAAGTCAGGAAACCACCAACTTTGAGTCAAATCAAAGTGACGAGATTGGAGGTCTTTGCTAAAGGTGCCCTGCACACTTGGTTTGAGTCAGCAACCAGACTTCACGTCTACCTTATTGGGTGGTGTCTACTGAGTAACCAAAAACAGTGATTCTGAGAATGATAATCAATTTAAAAAAAAAATGAAATAAGTGTGCCAAATAAATGACCACGTTTTCAGTACATTTAATAATCCCACGAATGGCTTTTATTCAATTTGAATAGTAAAAAGTCCTTAAAAAAATGTTCTCTTCATTTCTTTGCCACATACTGACAACAACGTAAATGTACATTTAAGATGAGGAGTCATCAAAACGGTTTCTGTGAAATGCCTCCACGCGTTTTTTTTTTAAATGTAAACACTTTCAAAATGTATACTGTATTCAACAGACAGCAATATTACTTTGTTTTTAACGACATGTTGTTGGTCACTAATGTTTTAGCCCAGGCGGTGGAAATACAAAAAAAGGGGGGGCAATATACATGCATTCAATATCAAAATATTTTTTAAAACACATTTTTAAAAAATTTAAAAAAATCAAATATAAAATAAGAAAAAAAAGCAATATTCAAAAGCAATCAGGAATGTTCTTTGGAGTCAGGTGTAGTGTTTCTAAAGTCCTCACATCACTTGTGGCGACGCAGTTGCATCAAAGAGGCGGTCGGCCCGGCGTGATCGGACACGTTTGTTTGCATCGAAGCAACAAAAGCGAGACTTGACCAATGAATGCGCCTCACGTGTCCAGGTTGTCTCGTGCCATCTCCACGCTGTGGATCAACATTTGGAAAGTGGGCCTCTGTCCCGGGTCGCCGCTCCAGCACTCGGTCATCATCCGGTGCATCTGACAAAGTGAAAGCGGTCTTTTACACACTGACATTTACGCTCGGCGTCAGCGTTTAATCGCGACATTGTATTCGAGCGAGGGCGGGGAAGCCTTTTCCGTGAGCCATGGAAGGGAGTTGGCAGACAGATTATTATCCGCCTATGACGGCGCTTAGCCAGCTCTATTTTTTTCCACCCCCATCGCACGTGGCACTGACACGTTTGGGAAGATGACATAACCTCGGCCATTCGCTTTTAGTTGACGATTAAAACTTTTTCTCGAGTCGGGGGCTTGGCATTCAGATTTGATTTGGCCATAACATGGCTAATTAAAAAAATATATATATTTTTTTCAAGATCACATGGTTTGTATAACTCAATTGAGTAAAAAAAAAAAAAAAGGCAGAAAAAAAATGTGTTTGTGCTGACCTCCTTGGGGCAATTTTCAGGAACGGGCAAGCGATAGCCTTGTTTCAGCAGGTCGATCAAATGATAAACGATCATCTGCCCTTGTTTGTCATTTCCCATTTGCTCCATAAACACCTGCAGCAAAAAAACAAAAAAACAAAAAGAAGTGCTTTTTTTAAGGAGCATTTCTTCAAAGAGAATTGATTCATAGTTTGCGGGAAAGTAGTGTGAGAAGGTACCGCAGGTGGGCTGTAGCCTTTGTCACAGTAGGTAAAAAGTTCATAGAGAACCACACCAAAACTCCAAACGTCTGATGCCACTGAAAATTTGCTTTCCGTAAGTGACTCTGGCGAATACCTGGAGAAAAAAAAATAAAAAATTCAATGACGTCTTTCAGGGACAGCGGTTACTACAGTGGACAGTGGTGCATGTGAAAGGGTGAATCAAACATGTTGCAGTCTTTATGAAACGCTGACCAAAAAATGGGACTTTCTCCGGGCTCCCTCACGGTGTAGTACTCTTTGTCCTGGGGCAGCACTTTGGTCAGACCAAAGTCTCCGATCTTCACCCTCGTGTCGCTCTCCACCAGAATATTTCTGGTGGCCAGGTCTCGGTGGATGTAACGCCTTGTGGCCAGGTAGTCCATACCCTAGAACCACCATGTTACATGTGAATCCAAGGAGGAAAAAAATGTCCAACATTTTTTTCATCGCTACCGAAAGAAATGTGCCAAAACAAAACAGTAGCGTTGCGTTTCTTGAGAAGGAAGTATTTGTTGATGATGGATGGATTTCCTGGAATAGTGTCGACCGTACCTACATTCATTTGAAAATAAAATCATCTCTAAGCCATTTATTTGGAAGTTTAATATTGCGAGATGAGATTGAAATGACGTTAAAATATTTTATGATCATAGTTTGTGGTAAAGTTATGAGTTAAATGCTGAATATAGGCAAATACATTGAATATTATTCCGAAATATCAACAGACGCCTGCCCCATGTCCGGCTGAAAGGCGTCAGTTCAAACAAACGGATGTCGCCGCACGCCAACAGTGGAGTTTTGTCACCTTGCAGATCTGTAGCGCATAAAGAAGCAGCTTCTTGAAATCAAAGTGGACTTTGTTTTTGAGCAGATAATCCCGCAAACTGCCATAGGGAAGATACTCCATAATCAGGCGTAGGTTCTTCCGTCCTGAAAGAGGAAGTGTTAAAATTAATTTTTTCCCCTTTCTTCCTTTTCTATTTTCTTTTTTCCTCTCTGAGATCAATTCTATTCGTTGGTGCCTTCCGAACAACTCGGTCACTGTCGCTGACAGGCCCTCGCTCGTCCGTACCTGCGCTGTAGCACACGCCTTTATATTTGACAATGTTCTCGTGATGGAGAGACTTGAGGATCTCGATCTCGCGCTCAAAATCCCGGATGTGCTCCGCCGTGCTGTGCTGGAGTTTCTTGACGGCCACCACCTCCCCCGTGCTGTCCTGCAGGGGGTCGTACCGACACATCTCCACGCTGCCAAAATTCCCCTGCAAGGACGAAGAGGGTAGACATTTAGATGTCTTGTGGGTGTGGGTGTGGGTGTGGGTGTGTGTGCATCTGCGTGCAGGTGCATCTCACTTTGCCCAACTGTTTGAGAAAGATGAGGTGTCGCTCCTCAAACTGAGCGGGTTCTTGACACTCGGAGGCCCACGGGAAGCCGAGGCCTCGCGTTTTGGCCGGCACCATGTCGCTCTCCACCAGCAGCTCGTAGTCTGCGCCAAAAGGTGACGGAAGACGATGACAACGCCACATGGACAATACCGTGGCTGCGTTTCCGCATATAAGTGAAAGGCGGCGTCGATTCACTCGAGTGTCGATGAAGGAGGCGAGGATTTTACCAAGCGTGCTCAACGTCATTTTGCATATTCTTAGAAGTATTCCGGATGTCGATGAATTTATCATACGCAATGTGATTCATCAAACACGAGACGAATTGCGTTGGCTGGTTTTGCGCATTGTCTGAATCTTCTGAATGAGCAAAGCGCTAATTTGGAACCAGTCACAAGAAGGAGTCATGCGTTACCAGTTATAACGACATTTCTTTCAACTTGACGTGTCCATGTGTAACAGTAGCATCTCCAGTATGAAGTGAGGCCACCAAAGTTATACTTGATCCATTTTTCGATATAGAATAGGGACGCGTATATTTGAGGGAGGTGACTGTGTGTGTGTGTGTGTGTGTGTGTGTGTGTGTGTGTGTGCGCCAAAAAGGACAAAACGTGGGCAAGTTGCTACCTGGGGTAAAGAGACTGTTCAGGTCTCTGATGACCGCTCGGAAGGAGGGTCGGTGTGAAGGCTCGTAGTCCATACAGCTGTTAATCAGATTGGCCAGCTCGGTCCATTTGGGAGCCGGCAGCTGGTGTCTGTCCTCGTAGAACATCATCTTCTGCAGAGGACAGCACAGACGCAGTCGAGTCAAGTCAGATTGAATTGAAATCGCCCTCCATCACAAAAGAGTCTCAAAGTCAATAACATGTGTGAACTTTTGCCACAAACGATCATTGGGCGAATCGAGGACCAATCGCCGGCAGTCGTCGAGATTAGCCAAGAATAAAGATTTTGATCTTGGCAGCCCTACTTGCTCCGTGTGGAATCGTCGCACATTCTGTACCTCGATTAAGTGTGTCGCATTGGCCCTCGAAACACACGAGTGAATCAAGGCGTATCGTCCGTCGTCTTTGTCACCTTGCAGCAGTCGAGGGTGCCGAGTGGTTTATCTCCACCGCTGCAGATCTCCCACAGGGTGGTGCCGAAGCCCCACTTGTCGGTGGCCAAACTCAGATTTTGCTGGTTTTCAATGCACTCCGGC